TTAAATTAACCAAGGCTCGATTTGTGACCCAGGATATGATCTATCCTGGAGAATGTTCTATGAGCACTTGAGAAGAAAGTGTATTTGTTGTTCTTGGATGGAATGTCCTATAAGTATCAATTAAGGCCATCTTGTTTAGTGTATCATTTAAATCTTGTGTTTCCTTATTTATTTTCATTTTGCATGATCTGTACATTGGTGAAAGTGGGGTGTTAAAGTCCCCTACTATGATTTTGTTACTGTAGATTTCCCCTTTTATGGCTGTTAGGATTTGCCTTATGTATTGAGGTGCTCCTATGGTGGGTACTTAAAGTTTTACAATTGTTATATCTTCTTGTTGGATTGATCCCTTGATCATTATGTAGTGTCCTTCTTTGTCTCTTCTAATAGTCTTTATTTAAAAGTCTATTTTGTTTGATATAAGAATTGCTACTCCAGCCCTCTTTTGATTTCCATTTGCATGGAATACCTTTTTCCATCCCCTCACTTTTAGTCTGTATGTGTCCCCAGGTCTGAAGTGGGTCTCTTATTGACAGCATAGATATGGGTCTTGCTTTTGTATCCATTCAGCCAGTCTATGTCTTTTTGGTTGGAGCATTTAATCCATTTACATTTAAGGTAATTATTGATATATATGTTCCTATTACCATTTTCTTAATTGTTTTGGGTTTGCTATTGTAGGTCTTTTCCTTCTCCTGTGTTTCCTGCCTAGAGAAGTTCAGTTTGCATTTGTTGTAAAGCTGATTTGGTGGTGCTGAATTCTCTTACCTTTTGTTTGTCTGTAAAGGTTTTAATTCCTCCATTGAATCTGAATGAGATCCTTGCTGGGTAATCTTCATTGTAGGTTTTTCCCTTCATCACTTTAAATATGTCCTGCCACTCCCTCCTGGCTTGCAGAGTTTCTCCTGAAAGATCAGCTGTTAACCTTATGGGGATTCCCTTGTGTGTTATTTATTGCTTTTCCCTTGCTGCTTTTAATATTTTTTTCTTTGTATTTAATTTTTGATAGTTTGATTAATATGTGTCTTGGCATGTTTCTCCTTGGATTTATCTTGTATGGGACTCTCTACACTTCCTGGACTTGATTGACTATTTCCTTTCCCATAGTAGGGAAGTTTTCAACTATAATCTCTTCAAATGTTTTCTCAGTCCCTTTCTTTTTCTCTTCTTCTTCTGGGAATCCTATAATTCGAATGTGGTGCTTTTAATGTTGTCCCAGAGGTCTCTGAGACTGTCCTGAATTCTTTTCATTCTTTTTTCTTTATTCTGCTCTGTGGTAGTTATTTCCACTATTTTATCTTCCAGGTCACTTATCCGTTCTTCTGCCTCATTTATTCTGCTGTTGATTCCTTCTAGAGAATTTTTAATTTCATTTAATGTGTTGTTCACCATTGTTTGTTTACTCTTTATTTCTTCTAGGTCCTTGTTAAATGTTTCTTGTACTTTCTCCATTCTATTTCCAAGAGTTTGGATCCTCTTTACTATCATTACTCTGAATTCTTTTTCAGGTAGACTGCCTATTTCCTCTTCCTTTGTTTGGTCTGGTGGGTTTTTACCTTGCTCCTTCATCTGCTGTGTGTTTCTCTGTCTTATTTTGTTTAACTTACTGTGTTTGGAGTCTCATTTTCACAGGCTGCTGGTTTGTAGTTCCCATTATTTTTGGTGTCTGCCCCCAGTGGCTAAGCTTGATTCAGTTGGTTTTGTACGTTTTCTGGTGGAGGGGACTGGTGCCAGTGTTTTGGTGGATGAGGCTGGATCTTGTCTTTCTGGTGGGAGAACCACGTCCGGTGGTGTATTTTGGGGTATCTGTGACCTTATTATGATTTTAGGCAGCCTCTCTGCTAATGGGTGGGGTTGTGTTCCTGTCTTGCTAGTTGTTTGGCATAGCGTGTCCAGCACTGTTGCTTGCTGGTCATTGAGTGGAGCTGGATCTTTGCATTGAGATGGAGATTTCTGGGAGGGCTTTTGCTGTTTGATATTACGTGGAGCTGGGAGGTCTTTGGTGGACCAATGTCTTGAACTCAGCTCTCCCACGTCAGTGGCACAGGCCTGACACCTGGACGGAGCACCAAGACCGTTTTGGGAAGTTTGAGGTCTTCTGCCAGTGTTCAGTAGGTGTTCTTTAGGAGTTGTTCCACATGTAGATGTATTTCTGATGTATTTGTGGGGAGGAAGGTGATCTCCACGTCTTATTCTCCGCCATCTTGAAGGTCTTCAACACAAGTGTTTTAGAATACTTCCAATACCTGAAAAATATTCTTTGTTCTTGTTTGCAGTAAATCCCTATTCTTGTCATTTCATGTAAATGAATCATGCAATATGCAGCTTGCATCTGATATCTAGTAAAATATTTTTGAGGTTCATTCGTGTAATATGTGCCAGTTGTCCGTTTCTATTTTATTGTTAATAGTATTCTATTTGATATTCATACTAATAAAGCATATTTTATTTATGCATTTACAAGTTGATGGACATTTGGACTGCTTGTACATTTTAGCCATTATGACTAACACGGCTATGATCATTTGTATACAAGTTTTTGTTTGTACATATGTTTTCATTTCTCATTTCATTTCAGATTCTCTTGGAGTGGAATTTCTAGGCCATAGGGTAAATTCATGTTTAACATTGTAAGAAACTTTCAAACTGTCTTCCAAAGTGGCTGCTCCTTTTACATTCCCACTGCAATGTTTAAGAGTTCCAGTTTCTCCACATCCTTACCAACACTTGTTATTATCTGTCTTTAATATTATCATAGTTATCCTAATGGGTACATAGTGTTATATTATTCCAGTTTGCATTTTCGAAAATACTAATGATGTTGTTCATCATGTTTTGTTGATCTATGTGTCTACTCCTCGAACAATACTACAGTGTCTTGATTACTGTAACTATATAACAAGCCTTAATATTAGGAAGAATGTTTCCTCCACTTTATTATTCTTCATCAAGATTGCTGTAGCCATAAAGTCTGTGGCTTTTCATACATATTTTAGAATAAACCTGTCCATGTCTAGAAAAACCTTGCTCAGATTTTGTAGGAATTGCATGAAAACTGTGGTTCATTTTAAGGAGAAGTGTCATCTTTACTGTATTGACTCTTCCAATCCATGAACACAGTATGTATCTCCATTTATTTAGGTTTTCTTTGAGCTCTCTCATTAGCACTTTGTAGGTTTCAGTGTACAAGTCCTGGACATGCTTTTTAGATGTACACCTGTTACATTTTTCTTGGTTGTTATAATTGTATTTTGATTATGGTTTCCGTGTGTTGGGTGGATTTATGTCCTTATTCATGGGTGTGGCATCCTGGTGGGGAGGAAGAACTATGAGGAGGATGTAGGGAGGAAGATGCGCACTCAGGTCCTGCCTTCGC